GGCTGGTCTTACAGAATAAAAAAAAATAAGCTGTAACATTTATCTCTATCTTTTAAACAGCAGGTAGTTTGTTTTCATCTTGGAGTTATAATTTCAGAACATCTACTAGTTGTTTAATTCCTTGCCAGTGTTAATGCACCAGAACAGGAGTGTGTGTAGATATGAATCTTTACTGCCTGAGTACAGGAATTAGCATACAGCCATGTGTGCAACTATTTTAGTCCAATTTATCTTTGTTGTCTGTACGACGTTCCCTTGAGCAGCATGGCCTTCAGAAAGTAGAGCAACAACAGAGTGGCTTTGATGCTGTGATGTCTGCAGGATATAGAGCGCTGTAATCATTTCCTGTGGATAGCTGAGCCTACCTGTACAGACTGCTGTGAGAAACCTGACAGAGAAACGCATACGCTTAAAACTGCATACTGTACTTATACCTCATTCAAAGGCAACACATTTTTCAGATTTTGATTAAAGATTTTTGATTTTCCTTTTATTTCATGGTTGGAATACTTTGAGTTGGTGTGTTTTTTAAATTCCCTAGATATTCATATTTGTGTTATCTGTTTAGAGTCATAATGTGACAAAATGTTAAATAAAAGTCAGTTTAAAACTTATGAACACTTTTGGAATTTATTGAAGTTGTCTAAACCCCAAAAATAAAGAAATAAATTAATAGAAATATTGTTCTCAGCTTCAATAGTTCTAAGACAAGTACGATTTCAGTGGCTGCATCTAAATTAAGCAGACGTGTAAGAAAAACAGCCTCCAGTCAGAATATTACCAAGCAGTTATTGCAGGAATTTAACTTCTGCCAAATCATCCAATGAAGAAGAGATCAAAGTGCTATTTAAGAATCCCGCTTCAGGGTTGTCTTGTTTTGATGCATGCAGGTTTTAATTATGAAGACCCTTTTTTTCCCTGAGATTCCTGTGAGTCGACAGCATGTCCCTTTACTGTGACAGATATGGCTGCGCCACTCATTTCAAATCAGTAGATGATCCAGGAGGAGGACAATTTTATTGCAACCAATCAGGAAGAACCAGAAATAGAGACAGAGAGGAACTTCATACTTTGACACCATGGGTTAGAGAGGAAACCTGTGATGGGTTATATCAGACGTATAACATTTTACCAACACCTGCCGCTATAAACAGGATTAATTTATGACTGAAAGAGGATTAGAGTGGAAAAATGTTTCAGCTGCAGCTGAAGCAAACAGGAAAGACACTCAGTGGAAGGATTGTATCTGTATAATCATCATCTACTATTCTTAAGAGATTAAAATGTATGACAACTTGAGGAATCATTAGAAAATCAGCAATCTGAATGAATAATTCACGTGTTTGACATCACAGACCCTCTGCACATCTCTGCAGGCATTTCACAATTCAGTAAACAAGGTGATGACATTTACAGCCATGCCCAAACATTTTTCCCATTCGTAAATTCCCAACTGCTTTCTCTTGCTGTGTTGAACCTTTCAAACGTCAGCCGATCCCTGGCTGATTTATGCTGCATCTTGTTTTACACATAAACATATTATTTCCAAAAAATTGTTTGTAAAAGAGGCTCACAAATGATTTTAAACACCCCAGTGTAACACATTGTGTGCATCCTTCTGCTTTTTAGAAGAAGCAGATTATGTTTAATCCAGATCTTTAAAATAACACATTCATTTTAATCTGTTGTTATGCCAAGGATATTTCCCCCTTCTGTTTAATATATCTGTGATAATGATTGGAGGAAAGTGTTCAGCAGCAGCTCTGTCTTTCCCGGTAGGTTTGGTATTAATGTTGCACAGTTTGGAGGAGCCCTGAGCTCCGGTGATGACATTTAAACTGTGTGCCTTGAATTTACATCCATGAATGTGTGCAATGATTGTGCATCGTCATGTTAAATTCATGAGCATTTCATGTTTTCATGCTCTGCACAGCAGTTGCTGAACATTCCAGTCATATGGACCGGAGGCCTTCCTGTCTGCGTTCAAGTCTGCTTTTCATAAGAGAATAAAATTCTCATCTTTTGCTTTATCTCCTCTCTTTTTTTCTTGCGCTCAGTCACCTCCTGCGTGTCTTCTCCGGTCGCTTTTAGCACAAGAACCTCATTTATTCATGCTTCTTGGGTCCGCAGTGCCTTTTTATAGCCAGCTGCCTAGAACGGTGTTTAAAAAATGAATGGACTCTGCGAGTTCACCAAAATAAATTAAACACATCATTGCTCTGCAGGAGCTGATCTTGAGTGCACTTGAAAGTGAATCACGATACGTTCTAAGAGCAGACGGTAAGATATAAAGCAGGAGATGCATACTGATGCCTCCAGCTCGATTAAGCAGGAGATAATGTAAAGATGTTGAGGAATATTTATGGCTTTGACTCTGATTCTCTGTTTACGCTGTTTTTCTTTTTATTTAAAAGTGAAGTTTCTTTACTCTGTCTATATTATTTTTAACATCTATCTCTAATATGTGCAAAAATGGTGAAATAAGCTCAGGTTTCATTAGTGTTGCAAGCTGTTGCTCTGAAAATTTCAGTTAAATTAATAAATTTCTAGATTTCTTTGGAGATATTAGTTGGAAAGGCAACAGGACTCTAAGATTTAGCTCTTTGATTTCAGAGTCTGGCATATAATTGATAATGTCTTTAAGCTTTAACCATTGTTTGTCGATATATCTATCATTAATGATCCAATTCATAAGTTTCACCAATTTATCAGAATGACTTTTGAAACTTTCCGAAGTTTATCTGTAATAAAAGCAACCAGCTGTCATATATTTTTGCCTTAGTGTTTCAATCTCTTTTGTATATAATAAACCAAAAAGCTATTCTGATCTCACTTTATTTGGAACCATTGCTCCAAATAAGAAGCCTCCACTCTTATTTTATGTTCAAAATATGTATTTTTTGACCGCGGTCATTTCAGGTGTTGCATTGTGAAATTATTGGCATGTTTAGATTCTCTGTCCTGTTCCTACACTCTCATCTCCTGCTGTTTTTTTTTAATGGAGTTGTGTTTGTTTCAAGGATTTGCTTATGTGTTGCTACATTTATACTAGAGAACTGTTTCACATCATCTGAATAACCTGTTATTCTGTTTTTTAAAGCAGGATGATGAAGAAACACAAACATAGTACAGAGTATTTCCTTCTTTAAAACGTCTTTTTTCTTCTTTTTCTACTCACCTTATTCCCTCTTGATTTCCACTGTGTATGAAAGTAACAGAAGGAAATGATTCCTGAAGAGTTCGGATAGGGATGTAGAAATGTTAATATTACCCTGAACCTTCAGGCTGGAGCTTTGGACTGGAAGGATACATGCAGCATTATGTTCCAGTTTAAAGACTTTAAATCAGCGGCTTCAGCTCTCTGTGGTGGAGATGGCAGACTAAAGCATTCAAAATGAGAATGTATTTAAATAGTGCATGTAGCTAGACCTTACCCAATCCTCTAGAAATCTGTTTGGTTGATAAATGTTATGTTAAAAAAGTAACGAGCCACAGAAAGTTATTTATAGTTTTTATTGCTGAAAATAGCTGCGTTCATTTTTCATGTTGTGTAAAACACTTTCTTTCTTTCTTTCTTT